CCCTGTGCTCGGATGGACAGCTCTGCATCCAGGCCCCACGCCTGGCGCTGCAGCCTGCAGAGGGGAAAGCCATTCCCATCAGCGTCCAGGCGGGAGAGGGGGCCACACAAGGAGACACTGCCTCCAAGAAGCAACAGGACCTGGGAAGGGAGGTGGGGAGTGGCAGCCAGGAGACCTGACCCAGGCAGCAGGAGTGACGACGAGCCCACTACCCTTGTCCAGAGACTGCAGCTGTTTCTGAGGTACCTCACTCCCCCAGCCCTGCAGTCCGACCCACGTACCTCATGGCCAGCTGTCCCAGTGTCCCTCCTGCCGCTGTGAACATCGCAATCTTGGCCATGTTGGACTCTGGCCAGAACTCTTATATCTGTCCAGAACCTGGAGAGGAACGGGACTCTTTCTTTCAATATTGCTGTGTTGCCAGGTAACATTTACATTGGCCAGGTGACAATGATTTTCCCGAATGTCTTTTTTGTGTGTAATCGGTGGAAATAAACCTGTTTCCCACATTCCGGTTGTCAATGCATTGACTAGAAACTGTTTTTGTGTTGATTTCCAAACAAGCAGGGAACTGTAGAACCTGCAGTTGTGGTCACTTTTGTTACTTGCCCCACAAGGTCTGGGGCCTGTGCGTTTTGTCACGGTCTATATTTGCATACACTTTTAAAGTAAAATTCACTAGCCTGGGAACAATCCCGTCCAGCAACAGTGCCAGCTGAGTCACATGAGTGACTCATGTTGCAGTGGAGCTACTCACCTGGTATAGATTTAATCAGCTCAGGACAAGGATATGCAACCTACACTATTCATGCCCTATGTGGAATAGGTAGTCCCAGTATTTGGTACAAAGCAGATGGAGCAGAGGACAGGCAGTATAGTGGAAGGAGAGAGCAGGGAGCAGAACCTGGAGCAGCAGATTCAGCAGGGCAGGGGGCTAGGAGCAGCACTTGGAGAAAGCATGGGCCTTAATTTGTGGCATGCATGCTAAAGAGGCTGGCTCAGATTGCTGAGGCAATGATGGGGAGGATCTCCTGAAGCCCCATTGTCTCCTGGGTCTGGCACCCCTTCAGGTCACGCTCTTAGGGCACTCAATCTGTAATTGGTACACACAGGCTCACTGGAATGAATGTGGACTCATGCATGCACATATGTGCATATACACATCATTGGCATGTTCACTCACATTACTGCACTGGATCTTGCATGGTTGCATCAGCTGAATACTGCAGGACAATTGAAACTAGTGCTGTAGTAACTCACAGTTTCTACTCATGCACACGACTGTGTCCCCGGACACATCCAGGGCCTGCTTGGAATATTTGTTTGTTTGGGTCTGGAGCGGATGTTCTTGCTCAGAAATAACCCACAGGTCTGCCAAGGACGCAGCTGCCATCAATCGCTGCCTCACTTCCCAGCCAAGAGGAGAGCTAAGCTGGTCCCTAGACGCTTGGCAGACCTTCCTGGCTTACGTCCCTGCACTAAGCAGGGACTTTGTGTAACGCTCCCATTTGTATCTTCTGATGAGAATTATTTTTTGGCAGCTCAGTCACTACTATAACTGCTGGGCTCAGTTTTTAAATAGGTCTCAGCTCATAGGGAAGAAAATAGTGCAGGGCAATGAACTCAGGTTTGGGTCATGCTGTCTGCCTTGCTGGCTTTGTTTACAAGTACCAGGAGGCTGAGGCCAAGGCCAGGATCTGCTGCCATTGACTGGATCAGCAGGATGCTGTTCTAATAAATGGTGACTGCACAGCAGTTTCCATGTGGAAGATCACATCTTAAGCCTCTTTGTTTAAGACGACCTTGCCCAATGCCTCACATCCCACTCCCAGCCTGCCTTTGTTATCACCACCCTTTCAGAGCTTTTGTTGTACAAAATCCACTGGGCACAAAACGTGTTTTCTAATGTCAACTCTGGAGATGCCAGGGTTAAAAAGGCATCGTGCTGCCTGGTCCCCACTTCCTACCCTGCCGTTGTTCCTTGGATTTACAGCACAGCTCCCTATTTAAAGGAAGATGACAAAGTTGGTTGAGCTTGGGCCAGTCAGGAACAGGGGCTGGTTTATGAACAGCAGGCGCTTGAGGGGCCTTCAGCAGCGCAGGCTCTATAGTGCAGGCCCACTCTGCTTTCCCCAGGGAAGAGCTTTCCAAGCACCTGGAGTAGTTTGTTTGGCAACAGCAGGTAGAGGTGATGGGCGGCATTCAGCACCTGTGACACATCAGGCCCCACAGCGTGCAGGGCTGCGCCCATCAGATGCTCCAGCTGCTTGAAAAGACTGCTCTGCAGCTTCCATCCCTGTGCTGTGAGTTGAGCTCTGCTCCCTCCTCAGCCTGGACCTGTAAGGGCAAGCAGCATGCCCAGTTCCTGGAAGACAGCCAGGACGAGGCCCCAGAAGCTTTGATCTGCATCTGCCAAACTTAAGGAGCAAGGATACTGAGGGGCTGGCAGCACCACATTCCCTGCAATCTCTGTGTCTCAGATAAGCAGTTGTAGCCTGGCTGCCAGGCTACGGGACAGGGCCTTGGCCTGCTCCAGCACAGCCCTGCATTCCCAGAGCACCTGCCTTTATCACTTCCCCCAAGCTCCCGCAGTACTCAGTGCTTCTCAGCAGAGCACTGACATTGCTGCTTTTTATGGGCAGGAGTGGGGCCCTGCCCGATGGGGGAGTTTGTCTGTAGTCACACAGGGAGTCCACAGCACACTAAGGAATTGGATCAGGCTGCCCTGACTCCCAGCCCCACACAAAGCCATGAGGCCATTCATCCTTCTTGGGAAAGGAAAAGAAAAAGAAGAGCACAGGGACAATCTGGGAGCCAGCGAGCCTGGCAAAGGCAGCAGCAACACATGGAAAAGACCAACCCATTTATTTTATACAAATTAACAACATAATACAAGTCTCAAGGACAGTTAGACAGTCTCCCTCATCTTCCTACCCCCACGGGGCCTGCATCAGTCTCCACTAAGTCTCAGCTCAGCTCCTGCTCCAGGATTCTGCTCTCCCTGGCTCAGCCTGGGCAACATCTGTCAGCTCTCAGTCCCCGTTATGCCTTGGCTCTGCCATTGGCCCCCTCTTCAGAGCCCACCACAGCTCCAGCTTCTGCACTGCCCGCCGGGGTGATCTGGATGGGTACATTCCTCTCCGGGGCAGCTATCAGTGCCTGGCGTGGGGCTTCAATGCGCAGCTGGCCCTCGCTGGAGATGGAGCAGGTCAGGCCGTCAGGGTCCACGCCCTCAGGCACGTCCCACTCCCGCTTGAACACCTCGTACTTGTAGGAGAAGGAGCCTTTACCATCCTCACTCTGCATCTCCTTCTTGCCTGTCAGCAGCACCTTTCTGCCCACCAGCTTCACCATTAGGTCATTAGGATCAAAGCCCTTGACATCCTGGCACACAGTGAAGGCCCCATCCACTCCCTGGGGCAGGGTCATGCTGGTGCTCTGCTCTTGCCCTCTGCTGGGATTACTGCTCCCTCCACCTGCTAAGAGCTGCTGGAAACTGCTCATAAGCTCCTGGGCTCGCTCCATCTCCCATCGCAGTTCCCGCTCCAGCTCAGCAAAGAGGACGCTGGGTTGAGGCCACAGTGTGCGCACGGGGCCCACCCAGGGAGCCAGGGCGCCGTGGCAGGGTGGCTGGAGGTGCAGGCGGCACAGCATCGCTGCTTCTGCAATTGGCCCAGGGCGCTGGGGCTGAGTCCTCTCCAGTGGTGCTGGAGCCCTTCTGCTCGGCTGGTGGGAGCCAGCAGCTTTTATGCCTATGCCGACCAGGCCTGGCCCCATCCAGAATTCTCTGCATCTTCCACGCCCTCAAGATGCCATCTTCTATTTTTAAGAGACTGATGGCTCAGGGATTACTCACGTGGCAAAATAACAACGCCTATTTCCCAAGGCGAGCGTCACCCATCCAAACTGGGCAGCGGAGTCAGTCAGGAGCTCTGGTTACAGACCAAGCTGTTGTGGTCCCACTGAGAGCAGAGCTCACAAAGGAAGACAGGCGGTGGATGGCTGTGCATGGGGGGTGGTAAGGGAGTGGTTTTAGATGTAGGCATGATTCAGGAGCACAACCTGAAGCCTTCAAATTCTTTCAGACCTCCCTTTACGATGCATGACAGAATTAGGGGTTATGTACCATACGGAGGATCCCTGTGTCCTATGAACTGCGTACCAAAGATTAATACATTAGGCAACTATTTTAATGTGGCCCCATATCACAGGCCTCAACAGGTGGTTTGTAAACATTTATTACCTCTTCCTCCTTTCCTACACTCCCCATCTAGCACAGGTTACTGCCACAGCTGGACCTTCCAGCTGTCGTTAATGAACACTTTATTACTGCAGCTGGAAGCAAAAACCCTAACCCAGCAAAGGCAATGGATGGTTTGTGACTGCTCTGTATGTTTCTTACCAACATGTGTTCAGCCTTGGTGCCTGTCCAGGCTATCAGTTATGTAAGCAAGTGCCGAAAGTCCCCTCAGTAGGGGAGCTAATCCTCCAGGGTAAAGTATCATCCAGTACTTCAGCATCATTGATGTTCTAGCAGCATTCCCCACCCCTAAGGATGAGGCCCTTCTTGCCAGGCACTGTATAAACCCAGCGAAAAGTAGTCCAACTGGAGCACTTGAAACAAATGTGGAGGAGGGGGAAACTGAGGCAGAGAATGCAGCAGTGACCTGGCCAAGGGCAGGGGCAGAGCTGGGAACACAACAGGACCCCCAAGTCTAGGCCAGCGCCTTTTGCCCTGCACAACTCTGCCTCTCAACAGGCCATGGTGCATTATCCTAGCATAAAAGCTCCGAGGCAAAGACCCTACAGGAGCAGGCTGTGCGCCCCCTGGGCACACAGCTGCCAGCAGCTATATTACATGTACGACTGTATCCTTGCAGTTGTAACCACATAATACAGATGCAACTACAAGGATACAGTTGAGATGTG